CACCCCCCCCCCCCCCCCAACCCCAATTTTGTGATTTGCATATAGTATCTTACCTCAAGAGAAGTGAAATTATCATTTGTTAAGGGATACTACATTCTCCATTACTAATAAAAAGTTTCGTCATCGAAACTTAACATACCTATATCTCGAAAGAGCTCTGGATATTTCTCTCGCATAGAATCTTCCATCTCCCAAGTAGCTTCTCTTTCAGAGTGATTCTTCCACTGAACTTTCACATATTTGATTATTCGGTGTCTAAGTACTTGTTCCTCATAATCCACAATACGTTCTGGTGTTTCCTCATAGGTCAATTCTGGCTTGAGCTCCACTGGAGACAATTCAATAATCACATTTGGGTCTCGAATGAACTTTTGAAGCATGGATATGTGAAATACATCGTGTACCCCAGACAGAGATGGTGGTAATGCTAATTTGTACGCCACTGAACCAATGCGTTCTAGAATCTCAAAAGGACCGATAAATCTCGGGTTTAACTTCCATTGGATTCCAAATCTTTTCACTCCTCGGGTAGGCGAAACCTTCAAGAAAACGTGATCGTCCACCTGAAATTCCAATTCTCTTCTTCTTTGGTCAGCATAACTCTTCTGACGACTTTGTGTAGTGCGAAGACGTTTCCGAACTAATTGAATTTTATCAATTGCTTGTTGTACCAATTCTGGTCCTAGAAGTTCTCTTTCTCCAACATTATCCCAATGAATAGGAGACCTACACTTTCTTCCATAAAGAAGTTCATATGGTGCCATATGAATGCTAGCTTGATAGTTGTTATTATATGCAAACTCGACCAAAGGCAGATAATCTTCCCATGACCCTTTCATTTCCAGTACACAACATTTCAACATATCCTCTAGTGTTTGAATTGTCCGTTCTGATTGGCCATCTGTCTGTGGATGGTAAGCTGAGTTGAAATTTAGTTTAGTCTGCAAGGCTCTATGAAAATTTTCCAGTATTCTGATGTGAACCGAGGATCTCGGTCAGAAACTATTGATATTGGTACACCATGCAATCTCACTATCTCATTAATGTATATTTTAGTCAGCTTTTTAAATAAATTTTTTATATTAATAGGTAAAAAGTGTGCTGACTTTGTCAACCGGTCCACAATCACCCATATTGCATCATTCTTTCTCAAAGATTTCGGAAGGCCAGTCATAAAATCCATGGTGATCTTTTCCCATTTCCACATTGGTATGTCCAAGTTATGGACTAATCTAGGTGGTGCTTGGTGCTCAACCTTTACTTGTTGGCAAATAAAACATTCTGCAACATAGGTGACAATTTCCTTCTTCATATTAGTCCACCAATATATTTCCTTCAGGTCTTTATACATTTTTGTTGACCCAGGATGCATAGTATACAGAGAGTGATGTGCCTCCTTTAGAATCTTTTTCTTTATCTTCGGTATGTTAGGCACATAAACTCTAGTTCCAAATCTCAATGATCCATCTTTATGTATCTTAAATTCTCTTTGAGTGCCTTCTTCCACATCTTTCTTTATCTTCAACAGTTGAGGATCATTCTGCTTGTTTTCTTTAACTTCATCCAACAAAGAATGTTGTATTACCATATTTGCTAATTTAACTCTAATTTGGTGGATTCTAATTTCAATTCCAGTACGATCCAAGTCCTCCAATATTTTTCCTTGAGAAGTAATTAGACACGCTAAATTGCATGAATTCTTGCGGCTCAAGGCATTAGCAAAAACATTTGCCTTGCTAGGGTGATAATTGATGGTCATATCATAATCTTTCAGAAGCTCCAACCATCTTCTTTGTCATAAATTCAACTCCTTATAGGTAAATATATATTTTAAACTCTTGTGGTCAGTATATATTTCATAATATACCCCATATAAATAATGTCTCTAAATTTTGAGAGCAAACACTACTGCCGCTAAATCAAGATCATGAGTGGGATAGTTTTATTCATAAGACTTTAACTTCCTTGAAGCATATGTTATGACTCTCCCATTTTGCATAAGTACACATCACAATCCTCTTCTAGATGCATCACTATAGATAGCAAAGTCTGTGTCTCCATTGGGTAATGCAAGTAGGAGCAGATACTAATTGACTTTTTAACTCTTGAAAACTTTTCTCACATTCATTTGACCAAATAAATTTAACTCCTTTCTGAGTAAGACGAGTTAGAGGTGAAGCAATACAGGAGAATCCTTCCATAAATTTTCTATAGTAGCCAGCCATACCAAGAAAACTACGGATTTCTGTCACATTAGTTGGTCTGTCCCAATTAACAATAGCTT